CCGGGGCCAGGGTCGGCGGGGGTCCCGGGGGCGGGGCCGGGGTGCTGGGTGCCGGGGTCGGGGTCCCGCGAGGGTGCCGGGGGTCGGGCGGGCGCGGGGGTCTTCAGCGGGGTCCGGGGGTCGGCGCCCCCGTGGGAGGGGGTCCGGGGGTGAAATTTTGGCCCCGGCTTTGCCCCCGGGGGTCCCCGGGTGACAACCCTGCCTGTAGTTGTCGGGGGCGGTGCTTGCATGTGGGACTTGTCGTCTACGATTGTCATTTTGGATTTGTTTTGTAGCCCCCTGCTCTGTTTTCTTTGGGCTGTTTCCTTCCTCTTTTGTTTGCCTCTTTGCCTTTTGGCTGTGTGCAAGTGGGTGTACATGACACACGGGGGTGGGGGCAGCCGCCGCTCAACCTACATCCACATGGGCGACCTTATACGCAAGAGGTTCTGAACAGGGGAAGTTTGATTGATTTTCGATTTTTTTTTTTTTTTTTTTTTTTTTTTTTTTTTCGCTTCGATGCTCTCCTACAAAGTAGTCTCAATGGCGCAATCTTTCTGGTTGGTTACACTTGTTGGTGCAAAAAATGGATGGCGGATCAGGTTGGGGTGACAACCCAATTTGGCCGGTCCCGTGATGGGGGCGTGGATACAGATGACAACCGAATGAGGTTGCGAAAATTCTCTGCCATACAATAAGAGAAGGTCCAGCGGGTTCGTTTTTCTACCAATTATGTGCCTGACTTTTTCTCTGACAATTAGGTGCTTGGCTTTAACATAATTTGGGTCATTGTTCTTCAACAGATGCATGTGTGGGATGTGGAGTGGATTGTTGTTGATAGGGTGAAGTGCTGCATTGTGTGTTTTTCAATGAATGATTGATTGCTTATGTGATCTAATTGCCCTTGCGTTCCTGTCGCACGAGTTCATATTTGCATGATGGTTGATTGTCATGATCACCGGATTCATGCTGGTTGCAGCCCCGGTCTCGTATCTGATCGACCACTTGCTCCTCATCCGTCATCACTGGTGACTTGCGTTGTAATCACTCCAGAAAGTCGGTTGAGGGTGTTGCCAGTTCTGGGCTCGCCAGCAACACCAATCGTCTCCATCATCGTTCGAAAGAGGTGGGTCTTTCACGTATTTCCCACCTCCCCGATACCTGCTCCTCCACCTGCTTGTTGAGAGAGAGAGAGAGAGAGAGAGAGAGAGAGAGAGAGAGAGAGAGAGAGAGAGAGAGAGTTGCACTTGAGGGGAAGAAGAAGATGAAGTGCTGAGAGTACTGCGTTGGCGATANAGAGAGAGAGAGTTGCACTTGAGGGGAAGAAGAAGATGAAGTGCTGAGAGTACTGCGTTGGCGATATAATTTGGGTGGATGGGGGGAGGGGGTGGGAAGTGCGACTCGGTGGACCTTGAATGGCAGGGTCAGGGAAAGGAGATGATGGCACGCCGGAGGAGAGGAGTTGGGGCTGTATGTGTGTGTGTGTGTGTGTGTGTGTGTGTGTTTGTGTGTGTGTGTGTGTGTGTCCTGGCTGAGAAAGTCTTCAGGGGGTGTCAAACAAAGCTTATTTAATGTGTCCTGGCCGAGAAAGTCTTCAGGGGGTGTCTGGCACCCTACACCCCGACGATTTTAAACCTTTCTGTGATTGATACTGTTTTGTGCCTGGCCGAGAAAGTCTTCAGGGGGTGATTGTCACCCTACACCCCGACGATTTTAAACCTTCCTGTCATTAATACTGTTTTGTGCCAACTGTTTCAACAGTTGATCAACAAAATTTCAACATGCTGTCAACATTGGGTTCAACACTGGCCCACACGCTGCCAACATTGGGTTCAACAATGGCCCACATACCATCTCATGTGTAACACATGACATGTCCCGAGGCGAACAGAAAATATACACACAATCAACAGTTGGTTGCATGCATCAACGTACGCTAAACTTTCGATGAAAAATCACACATTTTTTCTGTTGAAACATGTTTTGAGTGCACCGGGAGCCAAAATTGAGACCGGATGCACTTGGGAAGTGGCCGATTGATTTTTTTTTGGTAGGGGGCTAGTTGAGGGACATTGGGGCACGGAAAACTGCCCCTAATGCAGTCCGAGATGTAGCGGACTGCATAGGAAGGGGCAAACATAAGGTTTTTGGGCTCCGGGACTCGAAATTGAGTCCGAATGCCATACGAAAATTAACGTTTTACTTTCCTTGGGCATGGGGCATGATGTGGGGTTGTGGGATCAGTAAATTGGCCATGGGAGCTGTCCGAGAAATTTCGGACTGCACACGGATGGCCGGGCCAAGGGAAAAAGGGTCACGGCATGATGAAAACACCAGAAAATGGCGTCGCGGGCCTAGGGGAGTGTGACGGTGAAACGACAACGGCACGGCGGGGGCCCCGCGGCCGGAAAAATATTGACGGCACAAGGGACACATGAAAAAAATAATAAAACGGGACTGTCGGGGACATGGGAAGTCCCAAATAAAAATTGGACATCAACCGGGATGACGCCGGAGGCTAAAGGAGCCCAAATAAAAATTGTCCAAAATTGGGCCTTGTCGACGGCACCGCTGGCGGGACGGAAAAATGAGACTAGTATGGGAAGCGGCGGGGACTTGAGGTGTCCCGGGGAAGAGACCACTAGCCAAGGTGAGAAGTGGCCGTGAGAAGCAAACGGCGCCGTCGGGATCAAGGATCTCGACGGTGGAAAATATTAGCACCCTAGCACTAGTGGGGCTCAAACGATTGAAAAACGGGAGTGGGGAGCAAAGAAAAATAATAAGGGGAGGGTTGCCCAGCAGTCCAGAGTATTTCAGACAAGCTAGGCATGAGAAAACAAAAGTCCAAGGGGCTCCAAGCAAGAAACGGGCTAGCAGAGAAAAATCGGCGTCAAGGGGTCTCAAAATGGAGGCTAACGAGAGGAAAATGAGCCCCCGAGGGGCATGGGCATGCCAACTTGGTGGGCCGGGGTGTAACGGCCAACAGCCGGCCAATGAACCTGGCCACAATCAAGGTTCTAAGGCCTACAAAGAGGGTGCACAGCAAATTGACACATGTCACAACAAAAATAAAAGAAAAAGAAATGAAAAAGAAGAGGAAAATGAGGAAGAAAGAGACAAAATATGAGAAATGGGAGGAGGGGAGTGTGCCGTCCCATTGGGATGGCTGCAGTAGGGACTGCCAGGTCCCAATGATGACCTCACTCCTCCTAGATCTAAGGAGTGCAGGCCGGATTGCTGAGATTGGCCCTTGGGGCCATATCTCAACAAAATATGAATTAAAAAGACAAAAATGAAAGAAAATGCAAAAGGAAAAAATCCGGTTTTCTTTTGGACCATGGATCTGAAATCAGATCTCATGGTGGAGAGAAAACAATCGTTTTTTGTGGGCCAGTAAAAAAAACGCTAGATCCGGAATGAGGTGGCAGCCCAAAATAGAAAGAAACAAAAGAGGGAAAAAGACGAAATAGTGCATTTGGCCCAAAAAGAGAGCCAGATGCACCAAAAATTGAAAAATTGGACTTAGGGGCTCAAAATTGAAGCAAGGGCTACTAGGGGGTGACACGGATTATTGCTGGCCTTGGATCTCAACCAGATCTAAGGCTGAGAATGTGCCGGCAATCAAAAAAATGGTCCGGCTTACCCAAGGGAGGCTGAAAGTTGAAAAAATCGAGAAAAAGGTCACTAGGCCTTTTTCCTTCAAGTAAAATTGCCCCTTGGGCATTAGAACCCAAGGGAGCAACATTTGTAAGATGGAAAAGAGGCCGGAGTAGGCCAAAAGGCAATTCGAGTTGGTAACAACCACTCGGACTGCATGAACCTGGCCAAAAAGAAACCTAGGTGCCCCCGGAGAGGCCTAGAGGTGAAAATTGGCCTTGGGGGTACCCCGGTTCACCTTGGGGCACTTGGGAGGACCCAAGGGCTGGCCGGACTACTGTTCCCAGCCTATATAAGCTGGGGATTCAGTCCGCCACACTCATACTTGCATGAGGAGTGCCCATGCTGCCCAAATGAGCCCGAGAGAGCTCTAGAGTCAATTGGAGAGAAGTGAGGGGAACCCCTGTCAGTCCGGAAGCTTGGAGGTGACTGTGAGCTAGTGGAAGGAGGCTCTACAAGCTAGTGGTAGTGGAGGGGGTAATCCGCCATAGCTCCCAGGCTAGTGGAAAGGAAGGAAAGACTGAGAGGGGTTTCATTAGCCCTCCTAGAGGGGAGGACTCCCTAGTCTTAGTAGTAGGAGCCATAGGAACTTGGAGGAGGTGAGAGAAGGAGGAGGGAAGGCTTGAGGGAGGAGGTAGCCATAGCCGAGAAAGGGGAAGCTTCATCAAGAATGAGGCATCCAAGTAGGTGAGTGAAGAAAGTGTCTTTCCCCTTCATCTTCTTCTTCTTCTTCTTCTTCTTCTTCTTCCCCTCCTTCCTCTCCTTCCTCTTCTCCCCCCCCCCTCTTCTTCTTCTCCTCTTTCCCCTCCATCTTCCTCCCCCTCTCCCCCCTCCTATCTCCTCTCCTTCCTACTCCTTCCCCTTGTGTTGTTGAGCCAAATATTTGTCTTTTTCTCTCATAATCTCTCTCTCCTACTCATTTCTCCACTTGGTTGCAAATCGCAACTCATATCTTGATGATATGTAGTATTTGAGTGTTGATTCATGCTTGTTTTGTCCATTCTAGCCTCTCCTTGTGAATCGCAATCCTTCCCCTTGTGTTGTTGAGCCAAATCTTNTGTGTAGTATTTGAGTGTTGATTCATGCTTGTTTTGTCCATTCTAGCCTCTCCTTGTGAATCGCAATCCTTCCCCTTGTGTTGTTGAGCCAAATCCTTGTCTTTTTCTCTCTTAATCTCTCTCTCCTACTCATTTTTCCACTTGGTTGCAAATCGCAACTCATATCTTGATGATAAGTAGTGTTTGAGTGTTGATTCATGCTTGTTTTGTCCATTCTAGCCTCTCCTTGTGAATCGCAATCCTTCCCCTTGTGCTGTTGAGCCAAATCTTTGACTTTTTCTCTCCTAATCCCTCTCTCCTACTCATTTCTCCACTTGGTTGCAAATCGCAACTCATATTTTGATGATGTGTAGTATTTGAGTGTTGATTCATGTTTGTTTTGTCCATTCTAGCCTCTCCTTGTGAATCGCAATCCTTCCCCTTGTCTTGTTAAGCCAAATCTTTGTCTTTTTCTCTCCTAATCTCTCTCCTACTCATTTCTCCACTTGGTTGCAAATCGCAACTCATATCTTGATGATGTGTAGTTGATTCATGCTTGTTTTGTCCATTCTAGCCTCTCCTTGTGAATCGCAATCCTTCCCCTTGTGTTGTTCAGCTAAATCCTTGTCTTTTTCTCTCATAATCTCTCTCTCCTACTCATTTCTCCACTTGGTCGCAAATTGCAACTCATATCTTGATAATGTGTAGTGTTTGAGACTTCATTCATGCTTGTTTTGTCCATTCTAGCCTCTTCTTGTGAATCGCAATCCTTCCCTTTGTGTTCTTGAGCCAAATCTTTATCTTTTTCTCTCTTGATCTCTCTCTCCTACTCATTTCTCCACTTGGTTGCAAATCGCAACTCATATCTTGGTGATGTGTAGTTGATTCATGCTTGTTTTGTCCATTATAATCTCTCCTTGTGAATCGCAATCCTTCCCCTTGTGTTGTTGAGCTAAATCCTTGTTCTTTTCTCTCCTAATCTCTCTCTCCTACTAATTTCTCCACTTGGTTGCAAATCGCAACTCATATCTTGATGATGTGTAGTGTTTAAGTGTTGATTCATGCTTGTTTTGTTCATTCTAGCCTCTCCTTGTGAATCGCAATCCTTCTTCTTGTATTGTTGAGCTAAATCCTTGTCTTTCTCACTCATAATCTCTCTCTCCTAATCAAATTTTTATTTGGTTGTAAAACGCAGCCCTTGGGTTGATGTCAACGGGTAATAGGGGGATGAAGGATGCTGTTAGCATTGTCATTTTGTTGTTCTAAGTGTTTGGCTGGGCTGCGATTCACCCCATGATACTTCGCTGATAATTCCCCTGGGTAGATTGCTCTTGGCATTGTCATTTTGCTGTTCTAAGTGCTTGGCTGGGCTGCGATTCACCTCATGATACTTCGCTGATCATTCCCCTGGGTAGATTGCTGTTGGTATTGT